TTCTGAAAATGAATGCCTACGTGGGCCCAGATGAGATTCTAAGATGGTAAAGAAAAGGGAAACTAAATCAATGGGCAGAGAATCAAGGCACCATTCAGGGCTGTGTTATCTGCGAGATGCCATCAAGCACACAGCCTCCACCCCATTCCCTTTGTTAGTCCTGCTGGACGGTCAGCTGTGCCCCCGGAGAACTGTCGACATTTCCCTCTGTCTCTCCAATTGTAACTCTTGTGTCCCAGGGCCTTGGAATTATCTGCAATTCTATACGTCCATATTCGCTTGGAGGGCTTCCCAGGAGGCGCAGTGGTAAAGAATCTACCTGCCAACATGGGAGACACAGGAGACTCAGGTTAGATCCCCTGGAGAAGGGAATGGCAACCCACTCCAGTATTCACACCAGTATAATCCCATGGACAGAGGAGCCTGGTGGGCTGTAGTCCATGGGACTGCAGAGTCAGACACAACTTAGCAACTAAACAGAACAGCAGAATATTCTTATGAGGCTGTATAGCGTTTCTTACTGTTTGAACCTCCCAGTTCTGATCATGTGCATGTGCATGATCAGTTGGGTCTGACTCTTTGTAATCCCATGGACTGTAGCCCGCCAGGCTCCTCTGTTCATGGAATTTTCCAGGCAAGAATACTGGAGTGGGTTGCCGTTTCTTCTTCCAAGGGATCTTCCTGACACCGGGATCGAACCCAGGTCTCTTGTGTCTCCAGATTCTTTGCAACTGCACCACCTGGGAAGCCCTTAGTTCTTCTTGTGGGGACAGCCAGATGGGTTGCCTTCTGCTTAAGACCCTTGAAGTCTGAGGAGGGCAAAGGACTGAGCTCTCTCCTGCTTCTGGGGCACCAAGGCCAAGACACCAGCTGCTGGGGGATCACCTGAAGCTGTTGAGTGCCCCAGTGAGAGCACAAGTGTAAAATACGCACTCACTGGTGGGAGACAGGCAGGATTGTCAGAGCATAACCAGCTCAGCAATGCACTCTGGACCAGTTCCTAAGGCACTACTTCCTTTATGTTCTCAGAAATGGCAGGGAATTCCCCAGTGGTCAGTGGTTAGGACTTGAGCTTTCATTGCCAGGGCCCTGGGTTCAATCCCCGGTCAGGGAATTAAGACACTGCCAGCTGCATGTTGCAGTAAAAAATAATAATAGTAATAAAGTAAACAATTTAAAAGTAAAAATAAATAGCAAAAATGATATGTTACTGCACAAACCACAGAACAAAATGCAAGTCAGCAGGCTGGAATCAATGGCACAATGGAACATCCACCAAAAACAACAGTGGCTTCATTTTGTGAAGTGACAGTGAAAAGAAAAAGTCATTATTTAGGCAGTTTTTGGCTCCCCTTCCCAAATGAAAGGTATCAGTGCCAAAGAAACATAATAAATCAATTTCTTCAAGTCAATCTGCATACAGATGATAGAACACAGTAAAAAGAAGCATCTGAAAACAATGTTTCAAAAAATAACTCCTGTTTTTTGCTTCCCTCTTCTTTCTGTTCATACTGTCAATGACTGAGTGAGCATTATACTGTAGTAAGTCATACAAGGTATAAAACTAGGTCCTGCCTGGCTCCATGTGGCTCAAATCTAAGACAGTCATACGACTAGAATTTACCACTAAGACAGCTACTCTCCTACAGAAAGTGGAAGACATTGATTGCAGACGTGCCCTTAGTTCACGTTACACAAATCAAAGATCGACAAGGCGTGTGGCATAAAAACAGAGGCTTTGCAATCCTATGGATTCTACAGGGCACTGAGTTAGACAATCTTCTGTTGAAATTTCTCTCACAGCAACGACTCATAAAATCAGAGCAAATTAGTGGTTAGGACTCCACACTACACTGTGGAGAGTCCAGGTTCGATCCCTGGTTAGAAAACTAAGATTTCACAAGCCTCAAGGTGCAACCAAAAGGAAAAAAAAAAGAGCATATTAAAAAGCTCTTGCCAGACAGCCCCACCAAATATCAACTTTAGAGCTTACAGAAAAAAAATTATTATTTTTTTAAATTACAAACTGAAAGGAACCTTTTTAAGTTAGCAACTTCAGCTCTTAAAATCTCCTGAAAGGGAGCCAGGCATTTGGGTTTTAAAGAGAATCAATAAGAAGGAACAATCAGTGGGTGAATGAACTTTAACAGAGGCTGTGAAGTCTTCTACAAGGAAATTCTGGGTAATCAATATATTCAAAAGCTACAACCGTTCCAGGTTTATTGCAATGCGATCATGCACGTGTGACAGGCATCATCTCCTTGAGGTATAAATTATGACATCCGCATTTACTGCTCCGTGTTCCTTAGCCCTGGCTTGGCAAGTAACTCAGGAATAACTGGTCTTCGTAACTCTGGGCTCTTCCGCATAGGAGCATTCCTTGGAGCCTTTGCTCCATAGAACGGCAAAACCTCAGAAACAGAGTGAAGAGTAGTGATGTCAGATCAGATAACAGGGGAGGAAAAAAAAAATAGTCACAGATAGGAACCAGCTCATCACAGCCCCATACGAGTGCATTGACCTGGGAAGGCCAGGAATCCTAAGGGTTCTGAGACCCTCCAGGCTCTACAGGTTTTTGAAAGTCTGGAATAAGTGATGCAAGTGCTGGAAGATGAGAGTGACAAAGCCTTCTTACGCCCAGGGTGCTGGCAGTTCTGCCTGATTTCCTTTCTCTTTCTTCACTTGCTGGCTCCAATGTCTATTTTAATACCATTCTACACTGTTCGCCAACTAAAGGTGACATTTTCCCAACCAAGTCCCACCGGGCACTTCCCCTTTTACCGTAGCTACTGGGTGTTGCCCCTGTGTGGAGTGAAATACAGCTCTATCTTACGAGGGATGACACTGTCAGGGTCCAGCTTCTCTCTTGCTTCATCCTCATCCCTTTCCTCTTGCTCTAATCCCCAGCCCTCATGCCGGCCTGGATGGTTTTCTCCCTGCCCTGGCTCACACTGCCATTCCTTCACTCACTGGAATGCTAAAATGCTAAGTCATTTCATTGTTTCTCCTGTTTGCATCTGAACCAGAATAACTTTAAAGGGTTGCAACTACCATGTTAGAATTTCAGGTGCTGAATCCCTGAAAGTGTTCTGCTAGGGTACCAGAGCCTTCCGGCAGTCTAAAATCATACCCACAGAACTCCCCCTACCCTTGCAGAAGGCCAGCCAAGGTTCCTGTCTCTAGTTGGCAGCCCCAACGCCCAATGGCACTGCTGGGTACGTGTTCACACTGGGCTGTAACTGACTTTCCTTGCGTTCTCAAGAGCAGAGGCCGGATCTGATTATCTTTATATCTTTAGATCCCAGCATGGCACTTCCTACCAACCAGAGATAAATTTAAAAACTGAAGAAAGTCAACTGAAAGAGCTCCCAATGGTCAAAGCTAGACCTATTTGAGCAACAAAATAAAGTTGTGCTGGATTATAATGCAAAGAATAAATACTCATGAATTCACAGTAATAAAAATAACTGAACAAATTAAAACTCCCTGCTCAGTAAGTGTGCATGGTGACTTACTTCCAAGGAGGGCAGTTTGGGAAGAAGACAGTGGGAAAACCTGAAAAACACTATTCCAGCCAGGTGATCAAGGACATCATCAGTCATAAATCAGCTTGATAGGAGGTGCCCTTGCTTGACATAATGTGATGAAAATAGCACTTTATCTCTGTGATCTTCCTCACAAAAATCTATCACCCTAGCCTAATCATGAGAGGAACATCAGACAAATTCCAAGAGAAGGACAATTCTATAATACACCTGACCATTATCCTTAAAAAATGGCAGAGTCTTCAAAAACAAGGCAAGTCTGAGTAACTTCTACAGCCAAGAGGAGATTAAAGAGATCTATCAACTAAATAGAAAATAGTACCCTGGCCAGGATCCTCTAACAGAAAAAGGACATCAGGTAAAAACTAAGGAAATCTAAATAAAGTATGGACTCTATTCGATAATAATGTAGCAACACTGGATCACCCATTGGAACAAATGTTTCATAGTAAGATGTTAACTGCAGGGGAAACATACATATGGAGGGTATATGGAAGTGCTCTAAACTATCTATTCACTTTTCCTATAAATCTAAAGCTAAAGAAGAAAATAAATTAATTTAAAAAATCATGTGGAGGCAAAAAAATTGGAAAAAAAAAAAAGTGTTCAGTGCCCCTGCTCTTCCTAGGGTTATTTGAAAAAACAAATAGCTAAAAAAAAACAGAACAAAAAAACCTTAGCCACTTTGGACTAGCAGTTCTTGTGAGAGACCTAATAACATCATGACTGTTTATCACTGTTTTAAGCCCAGTGAGTGAAAGTCACTCAGGCGTGTCTGACTCTTTGCGACCCCACGGACTATACAGTCCATGGAATTCTCCAGGTCAGAATAATGGAGTGGGTTGCCATTCCCTTCTCCACGGGATCTTCCCAATCCAGGGATCGAACCCAGGTCTCCTGCATTGCAAGCAGATTCTTTACCAGCTGAGCCACAAGGGACATCCTTAAGCCCAGTACATGATTACAGACTACCATCAGGAGAAATAAATAATCCCTACTTGGTAGGAAGGATAAGTATTCCTGAGTCCACCCAGGACTTCGTGTATTCCTAGTTATGTCCCAGCCTCCCTGTAGATAGACTGGGGCCATGTTGACTAATTCTTTCTAGCCAGTGGGGTGTGAGTGAAGCTGGTGGCACTTCTTGGCCAAGCAAGTGAAACACAGGTGTGCCTCCACCTCCTGCTTTTTCCTTGGAAGTTGATCTTGGAAGTTTTGTGTTCAATGGGGTGTTACTACAGATGGAAGTGGCCACTGGATCCAAATAAGACTTCAGCAGGTTGAGAAAGAAACCTTTCTTGTGTTAAACTGCTGAGACTCAGGGTTTATCTGCTGAAATGGCTCTAGTAACTTGTCTTAAACGACCAATGGATTGCATCTCACAATGAAATGCTCCTTCCCTTCTGAAAGAAAGTTGTCGATCATAACACTTTCCGTATTTCCAAATATTGCACTTACCACAGGCGATGGTCCAATAGACCAAAGAATCTGGAGTCTGGTACAGGATGCGGTAAGGAGCGACCCGGGCACTGGAGTCCAACACGACATCAAGGGTGCCCACCAGGAGGCCTGAGGACAGACAGCGGGGAGAAAAGTTTAAGGGTCTCCTCCAAACTCCCAGAGGCAGCAGTGTGGATGCGCCCCTTCTAGCGGACCTGTCAGCAAACCCTCTCCCACCACCTCCTGTCTGGACAAAACTTTCCTCTCGGCCGTGATGCTGCTGGCTCTATGATACTTGTTCCACCCATCTGCATGAGATGCTGCATATGCTGAACCATGGCGCTGGTTTCCAAAGCCAAACCAGCAAAGCTCCTACCTCAGTCCCTGGCCCACCGTGGTATTGATAATAGACACCTGTTTCAAACTAAAAAGTAAGGTATGAAGCACTGATATTCTGGGGTCTCTGCTTTACCATCATTACAAACTGTATGTAGTATTTTCTCCCCTTCATCCTGGAAACAAACCCTTAATTTAAGTAACCTAACAACCACAGGAACCAGTCATGTGAATCAGTCATGTACATCTGAGTCCACGTGCTAGGTAGCCCCACGTGTAATTTTCATAATGATAATATTCTCACCTTTCTTTCATATCGAAAAGGTACAGGTCAGCTCGGCAAACTATAAATGACTACTATATGCAAGGCAGGGCTTCCCTGATTGCTCAGAGAGTAAAGAATCTGCCTGCAGTGCAGGAGACCCGGGTTTGATCCCTGGCAACCTACTCCAGTATTCTTGCCTGGAGAAGTCCATAGCCAAAGGAGCCTAGTGGGCTACAGTTCATGCGGTCGGTCGCAAAGAGTCGGACACAACTGAGCAACTAACATTTTCACACTTTCATATGCAAAGCAGACCCTGTGGGCATGAAGCTGAGTAAGACAAGAGTCCCTAAGACATTTATAATCCAGTCGGGGAGAGGGCCAGGCAGTATATTAGGGCTGCGTTTAGGAGTGAACAGGGCTGTGAAACAAGCATTTCCCCCGTCTCCATGGCAGAGTCCTTTGCTATTTGTCACATGGTGATTAAAAACAACTTGGAGATGGAACTGATGGTAGTCGAGCAGGGAGGGGAAAGTAAAAGGCCCCAGCCTTCCATGACCTGCCACAGTTGAAAATAACTAGGATACAGGAAGCACCGAGCCCAGTGCCTGCCCCCCCACCCCAGACTCCTCATGAAATTCTACTGAATCTGAACCACGGGTTCTTATGAAACTGTCACTGCCAGTATCTCCTGACGTGTTGTCTTCCAGTAACATCTTAAGGCTTGGTTCTGTCCCTACTGAATAATACCGCAATATGCATGATGCTACTGACATCGCTTTCTTCTGCTCTGCCAGCCTGGGGTCAAGTGACCTAGTGTTCAGAAAAGCTCCCTCCTGGTCTGGGGCACATGGACAAGCCATTAAGTTTCTGGTGGCTTTCACGTCCTCATTAGTAAAGTGGCCAAAATAGCCCTTGCCTTCCCAAACTCAAGGTATTAAGCAAGAATGGGGAAGCCCCACCCACAGTTGTCCTTTTGGTCTTTGTCCACAGCCAGGAGTCCACCTAGGTTCACGGCGAACCACAATGACCACTAGCTGACCTGCATACACCAGAAACAACATGCTTTCACTAAGAAAGTGAAAGTGAAGTCGCTCAGTCCTGTCCGACGCTTTGCGGCCCTGTGGACTGTAGCCCGCCAGGCTCCTCTGTCCATGGGATTTTCCAGGCAAGAATATTGGAGTGGGTTGCCATTTTCTTCTCCAGGGGAATCTTCCCAACCCAGGGATCAAACTTGGGTTTCCCACAGTGCAGGCAGACTCCTTACCATCTGAGTCACAGGAAAGCCCACACTTTCACTAAAGGATAAATGAATTCATGTGTTTGCTCTGGCTTGTATGAAATACATCAAAAATCAAGTCTTTAGTGTCTGCAGTTTTCCGAGGAGTCATTTTCCATAGAATACCACACGTGTGCATTTTTGTTCTCTACGGTGACTAGAATTTACTGCAGACCTCTAATTACTCTTCAATTATCTGCAGATGGGAGAGTGTATTAATAGGAAAAGCAAGGAACGCCAGCTAAACTGGATTGCTCTCTATGTTAACTAGAAACACATGTGAACCAGAAATACAAGTCCATCACTCATAACAGGCAAGCGTTGTTAACACTTTTCCTTTTCCAGAATCAAAATATTGGAAGCGACACATACGTTGTTTCTAAGGCACACAGGCTTCCCAGTCCAGGATGAGCCTCTGTGGTTTGTGTATGTATGAGTTGCTCAGGCATGTCTGACTCTTTGCGACTCCACGGACTGTAGCCCACCAGGCTCCTGTCTATGGGATTCTCCAGGCAAGAATACTGGAGTGAGGAGCCATTCCCTTCTTGACCACGGGATGTTCTTGACCCAGAGATCAAACCTGCATCTCCTGAGTTGTAGGCGGATTCTTTACTGAGCCAGCAGCGGAAGCCCAGCCTCTGTGGTTTAACGAGCCTCTAAGAGAGCATCATAGTAGATAAAGATTCTTCCAAGGACGGGCAGAGCAGCCCACAGAGGGAGTCCGGGTTCTGGAGCTCTTCAGTCCTGGCTGGGCCACGTCCCAGACCCAGCCCTCCAAGCCCCAGTTTCCCCATCCTTAATGTCTCACTAGTCTTCTGTACTCTGACACCAAGGAGAGAAGACCTCTGAAAAGGTCCGATCCCATCCGCATGTCCTGACCACAAATGTCCCTAACCACAAATCATCTATACCATCCACTACTCTAATTAGAAACCCTCTGGTATCACTCAGAGGGAAAGAAAACTGAGTGGCCTTCAAGGGGAGGCCAGTGGAGTGAGGGCTTCTGATTAGATGCCAGCTCACCAACTGTGTGTTGGTGATGCAACCAGTTGCGTTCACAACTGGCACCACCATTTCCATGAAGATTTTTTTTTTCATTTGTTTTTATTAGTTGGAGGCTAATTACTTTACAATATTGTAGTGGTTTTTGCCATACATTGACATGAATCAGCCATGAAGACTTAGATGAACACTAATAGCCACATTATCTTTCCCTGGTGGCTCAGACGGTTAAGAACCTGCCTGCAAGGCAAGAGACCCAGGTTCGATCCCTGGGTCAGCAAGATCCCCTGGAGGAGGGCATGGCAACCCACCCCAGTAATTTTGCCTGCAGAATCCCATGGACAGAAGAGCCTCACAGGCTACAGTCCATGACATCGCAAGAGTCAGACACGACTTACTAACACTTTCACTTAACAGGCACATCCGTATCTACTGGCCCCTGCTTGCCGCAACTAGAGAAAGGTCCATGAAGCAAGGAAGACCTAGCATAACCGAAAATAAATAAAATTATTAAAAAGAAAAAGAAATAAATAAAAAAATTTAAAATATCCATTCACTTGGTAACACTGACCAGGATTTTCCCTCCACTTGGGATGGTGTGCTGATCCATCAAGGCCCACCTCCCACCACCTCAAATGACAAACTCCTAATTCTCTCATGCCACCTCTTTCTAACCCTGATCTCCCTGAGTTCTGCTCCTGTAATACATACTGCATTTATTTAAAATCAGTTGCACATTTTGCCTTGTTCCACTTCTCCTCTTTCCAGGCTGGGAGCTCCATGACAACAAGGTCTGATGGATCGCTTTGGACCCCTAGACCCCAAACATTGCTTGGAGCATGGTAAGACCTAAACATATGTCTGATGAAAGGACAAGTTATGTATTCTTAGAAGACCTAAATCATAAATACTTACCATGCTGCCTAAATTGTACTGTGACAAGGAGTCAAGACTCTGGAAAAGAGAAAATACTCCTTCTGCACTGTATGTCCACAGAGAACACTAGATAATGGGAAATCTGAAATCTAGTCTAGAGCATTGCCCCCCAAAAGCAGTAATCAGGATTTTCTTAGAAGTCTTATTACTCATCCCTCTGAAATGGCTGTCAAAATACTGAACCTTTCATCATTTCCCACACAAAGCACTGTTTTAGCAGCTGTTCTACTCAGCTATTTCTGGTGTTAAACAATCTTTGATCGCCTCAGATAACTAAGTCAAATTATGGTCCTCAAAATAACTCTTCTCTGCATCTACCTATTACATTAGCTCGGGGGCATCTTATAACATTAAAGTGCTGTTTTCAAGGAGATTCAGAAAACACTCTGCGAAACTGGTACCTTTAGGCCTCCCACCGCTGTGTGCACTAAAGGGTCTGCGATGCGGACAAGAGGCATTTCCACTCCTGGGCAGCCCCTCACCCTTCAGAGGGAGGGATGTGTCAGGGGAGGGTGAGATACCCACAGATGTGCCCGTGGCAACAATCAATCCATCTACTGATGATCTGGGATAATTTAATGTCAAAGTGGACAGAATCCTACAGCTGTCTCAGCCTCCCTCTATTCATTCCGTCAGCCTTCTGGCCTGTCAAAGACAGAGCCCTACAAAGACCCTGCTGGGGCAGTCTGGGGAATGGGCTGTCCGCTGACAAGGAAGCTACAGTAGCACCTGCTAGGGAGTTCCCTGGCGGTCCAGTGGGCAGGACTCAGCGCTTTCACCGGGGTTGCCCTGGGTTCAACCCCTGGTCAGGAAACCAAGATCCCACAAGCCACACAGCACAGTCAAAAATAATAATAATAACAATATCCACTCAAAAAGAGTGCCCAGCGTGTACTAAGCACCACTGTTTCATGAAATATTTCTAAACGACAGAAAAACCCTGAAAATTACAAAATACACATCCCACCACTCCGACGTTAACAACTGGTCTTACCTGCCGAAGATTTTTTTGATGTCGACCTTTCTTAAAGTGTTTATTGAATTTTTTACAATATTGCTTGCTTTTTGCCTTGCTTCTTTGTTTTTGCCTGGAGGCATGCGGGATCGCAGCTCCCTGACCAGGATCAAACCCCTTGCATTGGGAGGTGAAGTCCTAACCAACTGACCACCAGGGAAGTTCCCAAGAATATGTTTATCCTTAATATCTCCAACACTTAGTATTATGAAATTTAAAAAAAATTTTCACCCATCTCAAGGGGGAGAAACAGTATTTGTTCTTGAAATTTGCATTTTCTGATGATTAATGAGTTTGGG